TCGTATTGAAGTCCAAAATACCACGTTTCTCTCAATCCTATTGTACGGCACACCAGATCAAACAATTCTCTGCCTGTCGATCTCCACTATGCCACAGGAAATTTGTCAGCTTGCGAGATATATCATCAGTGCAAGATACATAATAGCAATCCAACGTAAGACTGTGTGACACTTATCTACTAACCTCTAGATTAAATTCGAGTTCTGCATCTAAGGTGCAAACTTTGACGGGAAAAGATCTCCCGGACTTTTTCCTCCGAAACGGTGACATCTTATTTTTCGCTGTATTCATTCAGTATTGCAAAAGCATTAAGTACATGCCGTTGATCGCTATATCGTAAAAGCACTCGATCATATGACAAATTAGACTTCGCGCCGCTATTGAAAAATATTTTCACGATGCAGCATCGATATTTTTTTGACTCGCACCTGTTGAGACAAACTATAAATGAAGTAACCTTACCTAAAATCTCCAATACAGCACGTTCTCGACATATCTTTAAACGAAATATGAGTATTAATCGACGAGCACGATGGCTTGTTTCAAGTTTCAACCGTTTGACATCTCCCCGAGAGTGTATGGTTCGCACAATCACATCCTGCCAAATTCTATTATGATCGCGCACCTAAGTATTTGTTGATTTGATATTTTCAACGTACTTGATACGTGCATGCATATGCCTACCGTTTACGTTGCGCGAGCTATACCGCGGAATTGTCTAGAATTTTTGTCATTTCCTACCAAGTACAAATGGTTTTATTAGTTTGATAATCGTCACACATTTGTCACACTCGCACTTTGCTCGACAATGTTCGTAATGATGTTATTGTTTTTAAATTTGTGTATTTATAGATATACATGAACGTATTAATGATACAGGATGCGTTCCAAAATTAATTAAAGATGCTAAGAAAATTTAATAATGTACTTAAAATTTTTAAAAAAGTTAATAAAAATAGGTTGTATACAAAATATATATTGAATAATATATAAGATAATATTTTTTAGCTTTATCTAGATAATATTTATTTATTATTTAAAAATGACAGGCTATAAAAAATACGACCTGTATTCAGAAATCAGAACGTACTTTTATTTCTATGGTGAATCTCTAATTAACCGAGGATTAGGGCACGTTCACATCTTGACGAAAAAAAAGCAGCAGCAGTAATCAGCTCGTGTTAGTAGTTGACAATTTCGGCTTTTTGTACTACTTCGATTCTTACATTTAATGCGAGGTCTACAATAGAAATCGTAGCAGTTGTAGAAAATTAACTAATCACAGTAGAATATGAGAAGAATACTCGATTAGAATTGGTCAGTTTCTTATGACTTAGGGACTCCGCACAATAAAAGGAACAGAGAAGAATAAGAATTTCAACATATCAGAAACTGTGTATTTCATAATACATGATTTCTGATAGGTTGAAATTCTTATTCTCTGTGCTCTGTTCCCTGTTTCTTTTATTGTGCGGAGCCCCTAAGAAACTGATCAATTCTAAGTATTCTCGAGTATTCTTCTCATATTCTACTGTGATTGGTTAATTTTCTACGACTGCTACGACTTTTATTGTAGATCTCGCATTAAATGTAAGAATCGACTGCATTTGATTGCATCCTTGTTGGTCACCAAATAATAAAGAAGGATAAACGATACATCATGCGTAACTCGGAACGCATTCTATAAATACCAACCTGTTTCGCGTTGTGAAATTGGTACTGAATCTTTCCTTGGATTCGATTCTGTATCTTGAAACGAGATGAAAATTATTGTATAAAAGTGAGCGAGTTTACTAGAATACTGATAATTTCATTGGTCAACACTTAGTAAATTTGCTCACTTTTGTAATTTTCACTTTGTTTGAAAGTACAGAATTGACTCTCTTGTGCAAGGAAAGATTTAGGCTGTTTTCCAGCTAGAACACAGAGACAGTACACTGTGTACTTATTGGAACGCAATTTAGTTTTATAGTGTAACACCAGAATGCATTGCAATCTTTCATTTTATTCCTATAATTATATTGTATTTAGCGTATCAATAATATTGGGTCATCTAAAAAGTATTCGCGGTTTTTTGTCACTAGATGTGTGTTGATGGTCATATATCTAGTGACAAAGTACCGCGGATACTTTTTAGATGACCCAATAGATTTATGATTTTTATTTAAATTTAAGATTTTTATTTTTATTTAATTTATAATTTTTTCAGAATTGGCGATTTTTGAAGATTTTATTGCAAAAATAAATGCGGCTACCAAATAACTTTTTGAAAAGTTGGTAATATTGACATATTTTATATGCTCGCGTACTTAGCTTTTTACTGTGTTAAGCAGTGTAACACTCTGCATAGTTGGAACACTTTGTGTAAGCCACAGTATTACACTATGTCACCTGTGTATGTGTTGGAAAACACCTCAGTATCAACTTCGCGACGCGAAATGGGTCGGTATTCATAATCAAGTCTTGCATTTAAAGCGGGAAGCATAGACTCTTATATAACGTATAAAACATGAGGCATAAAAAAATCAACTAGTCTTTTATTTCATGGAAAGGAAGAAAATAAAGCACTTTGATTGGTTCATTTTCTTTGTCATGAATTATGCAAGAGTCTGTGTTGCCCGCTTAAAGCGGAAGAAAATATACCAATCAACGACCTTTGTTTCTTTTCTTTCCATGAAATAAAGAACTCAGATTGGTTAAATATTTTAGGCCCGTTCTACAATCAATCGTATGTCGGAGTCGGGTGTCGTACGCATACGCACTGGATTGTCGGCTGTCGAATAAAGTTGTCGCAAGTTGGCTATAGTTGTCGGAATAGAAGATGGTCAATTCCCATCTTTTCCGATTACGACTATAAAACATAATCTTCGGACACATTTGTGTATGGATAAACAGATATTTTTATACGGATATATGGATATATTTATATTATATTATGGAATCACTGAATTCCAGCAAACAAGAATGGATAGAAATAGATTGAAATTTTTGTCTATCCAAATGCGTATTTTAAATAGCGAATACTTTTTTTGGATTTAATTGAATTTAATTAGATTCAATTGAATGCAATTGGATTGAAAAACTATATTTTCCATTCAAAATTTTGAATTGAATAGTATTTACAGTATGTGTGTTGTACATAGAAAAAGTTAATATTATTTTTAGATTGAAAGGAATAGAGATATGCTCCATGCAATTTCTACAAATGAATAAAAATGCATTCAGGATTGAAAAGCATTCATTTTAACATTCATGAATCAATATTTCTGAAAATCTGAATCCATTTCAATTCATTTCAATCCATTCTCGTTTGCTGGGAAGCAAAAACCGTGCAATAAAACTTATTAATCCTTAGTACATTCCTCAATTTGGACCTTACGTAATTAGTGTTCGCAGATAATTTTCATTAATTAATGTAACACTCGAAGCGATTTATGAAACACGTCCATTTCCCTTCGAGATCGTCAAGCGAATGCCGAACAGCCGAAGCCAAAGTGATGACGTGCAACCATGTGCGCGTGCCCCCCCTCCCCCCGTCCACCACTTGACACGCTTCTTCACGCTGTTCGCCGGGCGCCGTTCGAATATCCAATTATTAGGATCTGTTTTCTGTAGTTGAACTAGTGTTAGTACACTTTTAAAACTTAAAGTGAGATTATACGTTTGATATTTGTCGAAAGAGTAAGGGGCTGCGTACAATAAAAGGAACAGGGAACAGAGAACAGAGAATAAGAACTTCAACCCATCAGAAACTGCGTATTCCACAATACATGATTTCTGATTGAAATTCTTATTCTCTGTTCTCTGTTCCCTATTCCTTTTATTATGCGGAGCCCTTAAAAGTAATAAATAATTTGTTAATCATTATTTAATTTTTCAGTTAATAAATTAATTTAAAACACTACAATTATTGTAAATTCTATGTTTCAGAAATTCTTTAACTTACGCGTAATGCCGATTATGGCTCGATAAAATAATAGACGAATTATATAAAATAAAAAATATAAAGTAGGTTTTAGAAATTATTTAAAATATTAAATAAGAAATATAATTATTTAAAATAATAAATACTAAATAACTCTTTTACTTTTTTTATTTAAAATATATGCTTTAATTTTCATCGCTTTTACAAGTATATAAAAATTGTTAAATGAGTTTTACGTATATTTTGACATCTTTAAAAAGTATTTCTAAAGTTGTATATTTAACAAGTTGTTGTATCTAAATATAGTTAACAAAATGAGAAAAATATACTTTTCCATACAAAAATGTAAAACATTAAAACAGAAATATTTAAAAGAAAAATATGCTTCAATATCTTAAAATTGATATTCAAAATTTGAATTTTTTTTTGTAGTTTTGAATGTCAATTTTAAGATATTGAAACATATTTTTCCTTTAAATATTTAGAACAATGAAAATTGAAACATAATATTAAAACGAAAAAGAATCAAATATTCATATTTTTGAAATATATGAAATATGAGAAATTGAGAAATATAAAGATTATATAAAATAATAAATAGAGTATTTGATTAGATTAATAACAAATAGAGTAAATGAAATTATTTTGTATGGATACCATTCTATAAAAAAGTATTTACTACAGTATTACAATATTTATTATTTTTATTATTTTTCTTATCTATTCTATCCAAATATTCGTCAATTGCAAAAGCAAGAATGGTCAAGGCAAAGAAAAAATAAAAATGTATTATTGAATAGAACAAGTTTTTTACAAGTTTTCTTATATGTAAACCTTTTTTTCTCAAATGCATAGAAAAATAAGGATAATTCAAGAAATATAATGTTATTTATAGATATTATTATTAGTTTATAGATATTATTATTAGTTTTTTCATGTTTAGTTTATTTTATCTTATGAGCTTCGTAACTCGCGCCGGACAAATTGCTCAATCTTTGATTGGTCGAGATCTCGGTCCTCCGCCATTATGCGTATTGGTTCACCTTTTTTATTACATCATGGGTAACAGGAAAAAGGCCGACATGGCCTCTCTCAGGTCTCTCTCTGATAAGAGTGTTACTGGTTAAGTTTTTCGATTACGAATTACTGACTCATTGTAGAACCAGGATTTATCAGAATAAAAGAAAGGATCATATGTGATGTAGATTTTGAAGTAAAATTATCTCTCTTTCACTCTCTGCAATGAATAAATTAATCAACGTGTCGTCGAACGTTGACTTGGATGATCCAAGATTTCGTATCAAACCTTATCAACAAATTGTAGCTTCTTGTACTGGTGCATTTATTACATCGGTGTTTGGTAAGTTTGTAATAATGTGATAAGTGGATAATTATATAATTTATAACTTTTGTTTCCTCAGTAATACATTTATATATTATTTTTATAAAAATGTTAGATTATTTTGAACACAAATATATATATATATATATATATATATATATATATATATATATACACATACATATACATACTGTATACTTAGGAAGACTAGAATATTACCAATATTTCCAAAATATGCCATTTTTAAATCGTATCAGCTTAAGAAAATTGTAAAATTTCGTTATATTCATGTTGTATATTCCTTCGAAGTTAAATATAATATTTTTACATTTTTTATTTTAATTAAAAAATTATATTTGTTTTGATCTCTTTGGTTGCTTGTGCACTTTTTATAAAATTTTGAATATTTATGTTTTTTTCCTGATGTTTTTACTAGTGACTCCATTGGATGTGGTAAAAATACGTCTTCAAACACAACAGAAAGCAATGCTTTCAAATAAATGTTTTCTATATTGCAAAGGTTTAATGGATCATTTATGTCCATGTACCAACGGTAAAATGCCTGATTGGATGAAAAGAAATGGAAAATTTAATGGGACATTTGTATGTAATTACTATATAATTGTGACATTTAATATTTCTGGGTATTAATCTTAAAACTTTATCCCTAGGATGGAAAGTGAAAAATGAAAATTTTAACCATCGAAGTTAATGGAGAAATTTTCCACTTTTATTTCTAGGAAAAAAATTTCATGATTGATACCCTATTTTCATATGATATTTGAAATGTAATATTATATTATCTTTTCTTTATACTTACATATAATAACAAATTAATTAATATTTTTTTTTCCTATATATTTTTTTCTATAGATTGACAAAATTTACTAAAAACTTTTTAGTATAAAATTTAGTATAAATAAAAATCTATAGATAAAAATCTTATATCTATAGATATAAATCTTGATCAAGCATTATAAGATCAAATTTTGTTAAAAATGAAGAACATATGCTGACTGAATTAGATCTATTTTACTTGAAAGAGTTTTTGATATATTGAATCATTGTTATATGTAAGCATACAAAAAAATAAAATTTATTTTAACAAAAAGTATAAGATAAGATATAATTACTTTTTTTTTTGTATATTAAG